CTCAAGAAACTGGCCGCTTGCAAAGGTGTTGCTTCAGCTTGTCGAAATCTCTTAAGATAATACATGATATAATAGTTGCATTGATTACCTTCATATATCCATGAGATTACATCTCACAACAATGTTTTCTGAAAAATATAACTCCCACCCTAAACCCAAGATAAGCTCATTCTTTTGACAGATGAAATAACACGAGTTGTCAATGAAACCTACACAGACTCTACAGGGCTGTTACTGGCACAAACCTTATTAACGGAAAATCTTGAAATAGAGTATATACATATATTTCTTATTTTGAAGTTCATAAACATTCCTACTTCGACACAACAAATGAGAACTGATTTAAAATAGAAGTGAAATTAAATTTGGCAAAGCCTTTATTCAACTAGAGTGCTGGAAAGAATATTCTAGAGGTCTGTTTCCTAACAGAATACAACAAATTCACACAAATGTCACTACAGATATAACGAATGTTTTTCATGCCAGTGTCACTCACCCTTGCCTGCCTGCCTCCCCTCCCCCAGGCTTTTCAAAATGTATTTCATACACAGAGTCACTGTTCTGGTTGTTTATTTAATTAACATGACAGCCCAGCATACACAGCATTTCTTTCAGTTCTACAGTTTTAACTTTTTACACTTTAGACTCAATACAGAAAGAGTAAAATTACTGTTTGACTCCTTCCAACCTCTGTAAATTTATATAGATTCACTAACTATTTCTGTCCATTAAAACAGTTTTTCAGTGTGCTGTAAATATCTGTATTCACAAAGTAAAATCACAATTTTGTCCCCACACACAAAAAAATTCTTTACCCTCACCTTTCCCAAAGGATAAGAAAATCTTGTTTTTTCTTTTTCATGTTTTCAGAAGTTGACATTAATTAATTTTAATGCTGTCAGCAAGTCATAAATAATCAATATTGCTCTTTGTATCACCATAGCTGAGGTACACTACTGAAATGTGATAGAAGCTACAATTTAATTAAAAATCCCATGATTGTTTCTGAAATTTATTCAGCTGAGAAATATGTTATGTTATACTAAAATGTATTTAGAAATTTAAAGGACAAAATATTCTATATATTCAGGAGAAATACTTCTGAATTTTATAACTGTACTGTAAACGCAAGTAAATTATACTTTTTACCAAAGATGTAACAAGGCCTACCATATGCCTACCATCGAAAATCACACCTATTTCTCCCATTTTTCTCTCGTTGTTTGCTTTTTTGCTTGAAAATATCTTCCTCACATCAGGGATGAAAAATTTGATTCTACGTTTGATAACCAACCACTAGATACCATTATAGTCCTATAAAAATCTATTTTTATTAAAGGTGTTTAATTAAGTGCTTTAGGGAAAAATTTGTGGGAAACAATTTTGATGTTTAATTACAAAATATAAAGCATATAGCTGTACATTTCTGACTGACATTGCATCCATCACAAAGAATTTTGTGATTATGTGGTACAAACACATTAATGGAGAGAGGCATATGCCTTGTGTTTATTTAATGTGAAATCACAAGCAAAGATATTAAACTCTTCTTAACATATAACTAAAATAAAATGGGATTGGTTTGGAATCTTTCAAAAACGAATGCGTAAGGTGTCAGAGTAACTAGAGAGGAATGACTAGCCAATTGTGTTCTTTGATGTACAAAGAGAACAGAGACACCCTTCAAATATAATTTCCAAATGATAAAAATTTCATATTTAAAATTTTACGTTGAAAGATAACATTTATTAATCATATGTAAAATCTAATAATTCAAGAAATTCTAGGTACCTCTGTATATTCCAGTGTTTGGAAAGTACAGTGGTAACTTGAGAGAGACACACCTGCTCTCGGAAGTGAACATCCACTTAGAAAAGATACATACACCTTAATGGAAACAACTGCCTTCTTAACACTGCCAACCAAAAAAGCACAGTTTGACACACTGATCTGCAAAATCAGCTTCACTCTTGAGGATACTGGGCTGGTAGGACGGAACTAAAAGCCACGCAAATGTTACAAACTTTGTCCACTCTTTCCTGACAATAAAGGTATCTTCACTTGCATTCGCAGACACACCCAGGGTCAGATTAATTCTGTGACTGAAGACTGGACCTGTTTCTCCTTTCTTTGCTTGAAGGTATCTTTATCATCAGCGCTGCAAAACCCAATTCCATATACAATATCTAATCTATAGACTTATTTATGGCTCAGGAAGGAAGAAAGGAAGGGAGGAAGGGAAGGAGGGAGGAAAACATCTCCATCAGTTGGTTTGTCTCATGAGAATTTTATCATCTATTCTCCTTGACCTTTTAAATTGAGTCAATGAAGGAAGATTCTTGATAAGCAAGTGGCCACTATCATTCACATGGAGAAGAAAAGGCTGAAATGCTGTCACCTTTAAACCTCACAATGGGCAAGGTCCAAACAAATTCTCAAGAGGCCTCTGCCAGACTCTCTGAGCTCTATGTCCTTACACCTCTATTTAAAATTCACTTGTTGCCCGAGTGTTGTCTTGAGTTGATAGTACATGCTTTCAGAAAAGAACACCTAATCAGGCAGCATTCAGGGAGCATTATATACGTGTTTTATAATTATTTTGATTCTTGACTTCATAAACTATGCAGATGACAGTGGTACACTTTGCTCCCTTGATCAGAAGTTTATTTCCTTATGATAAAACAGATAAGCCATTTACTATATAGCTCCGGAACTTTTCACACAGTTCAACTAACGTATGAGATATTGCCCTATCTTATAAGATACTGTTGCATGAGTTCCCACCCCCCACCCCACAATCACGTTCACCAACAACTTTAATGGGTCATAGATAAAAACTAGTCTTAAGAAATACATCCACACTCACCCATACTCTAATTAGAACTTCAAGGATCTAAATTTCTGCTAAATGTAACCTTGTTTTTCCATCAACCATAAGAGATCAAGTCTCTCACATTAAAATATTCCTCATACACAGTGCCTTTAAAAAACTAGTAACCAAAGAAAATGACCAAAATACATTACAAATATGCATATTCAACAGCATTAATCAGCAAAACATTTGAAAAGGAACTGCTCAGTGACTTTCTTATAAATTTGCAGATTATTCAGATTCTCCATTTATCAATTCAAACCAGAGAAAAATCCATAAAAATCTGCAGTTAGTTAACACTGCTGGTTAATTCACCCACCCATAACTCCTTAACTTCTAGACATTATCACGGAATTTCAGAAATTTTATTTCAGAGGCTAAATGATATTAATTTGGAGCCAAGTTATTTATGATTAAATCACACATTTGCCTTAGAAATTATGGTTCAATTCTGCAATGATCATCCCACATTTTCCTGTAAGTGAAAGAAAAGTGTGTCCAAACATATCTGAACCAGCAGTGTTTTCAATTTAAAAGACATTCTCTCCCGTTACCTGTGAAAAGAAATTAAAATGTGCTTTCCTCCTCACCGGTTCACCCTTACATCGAAAGCTTACTTTATTCTGGTGATTTCCAAATTTCTACCAAAATGAACTATCAGTCAGTGGCCTGTTTTTAACTTCATTCTTAGAGTAAGCCTAAACCCAAGAAATATTTGCTTTATCTAAACAAAAAGCTAAATAAGTACATTTGTTTTCAAACAAAGAGAGGCTAGGATGCTGTCATCCATTCTGCGAAATAATGTCAAACCACCACATTCTCTGGAATCAACTCCATTTCAGAAACAAACAAGCCACTCACACCATATGGTGATTACTAGTTCTTAGAAATACCTAAATGATGATCCACAGAATAACCTAAAAAGAAAAAAAGCTTACTCTACCTTAGGATATTCTCTCACTCTCTAAAGTTGTCCTAAGAGTACCATAGGTAGGCATGAATTTCAGTGGAAAAAGTGTAAATTTCCACTTGCTATACATAACCCCTCTCCACCACCCCCTCTCCAAGTGTCAAATCTGCCTGGAATAGAGAGGTGAACATTTAAATATGCCTTTTCAGATACAATTTGTACTTAAAGTTAGGCTTTGTTCTGTTATGCCCATTACAGCAACTATATTCCATGGTCTTAAAATGCTTCATGATAATAAGGAGATTCATCTCCAAAATTCACTAAACTTTATTTAGGACAACTTCACTCACAATTCTAGATTCCTCCTCCTCCTTCTCTCTGAAATATTTATATCACCAGCAATCTTAGAAATAGTCTCCTGAATTAATATTTCCTGTATAACCTGTATATATCCATTTGAACTTCTAAATATCCACTTAAGCGTACAGATGCTCAAGAGAAATGTTATTTTTTCAGTTGACTCTAACAGCGCAGTTCACAACTTTGACAAATTCTGAAGTTCAGATATACTGTTCCTCAAATTGAAGTTTATGATTATGACACAAAACACATTAGCATGTAACAACATATGTCCCCAAATTGCATTTAAAAAGCAAACTGGCTCCACCAGCAGTCTCTTCAAGTAAAACTTTCTGCAAAACCAGAAAGGGTGTATAAATACGTCACCTTCAAGCATTCCTTTCTTTACTCTACAATCTTTTTACTGACGTCCATAAACGTTTACCTGTCACTTTAGAAGAAAGAAATTTTATTTTAAAAAATAGAAAGAAATCTAGTAAAATCCACGTGTTCAAAAATCACGCACGCTAAAAAACTAAAGTCAAAAATTCCTGCTAAAGGAGCAAAGTAGGAGGATACTTAAAAGTGTAGGCAAGCCACAAGCCAGGTGTAGCAGATCTAAAAAGTTAGCCCAGCTGTGGAAGACCCTACAAGTGCCATCTAGTTTTATTATTTATTCCTATTCCTGTTGTTCAAATTACAAAATACGGTGTGAGAGAGGGAGAAAAACTCGCTAGTTTTCTCCTAACTCTGGAGTCACACGACTTTTCTAGGCAATCTTTCCTTTAGTTCCCAGCGCTCAGATTCCCTCCACTTTGCGCCAGTTCCCAAGTGTTTCAAGTTTTCCCGAGAGGCCAGGGAGGAGCCGCCAGGGCTTACCTGTTCCCTCGGTATGCAGGGCAGGGAGGTCCTCCGGTGGGACTTGCTGCTACAGCCCGACATCTCGGCGGACACCACAGAGCTGGACCGCCTCCTCCTCTTAAACAGCGGGATATCTTCCTTGGTCCCAGCAATCAGCTGGGACCCAAAATGCTCCCTCGGAGCCGCCCCCGCGGACTGCGGCAAGATTTGCTCCACGTACCTGGCCAAGAGGATCCCCAGCACGCCGGCCAAGTACGCCAGGTAAGGTCTCCAGGAGACCTTGAACCTCTCTAAGGAAATGAGGGACACGGTCCTGACCGCGCTAGTCAAGGCGATCATGAGGACGCCCAGCCTCAGCCTCAGCACCAGCCATGTCGCGGCGGCCAAGCAGCTGAGCACCACCCCCGCGGCGGGGAGCGAGAGTAAGTGCTCGTCCCCGACGCCCAGCCCAATCTGGACGAGCGCTTCCCCCCCGCAGCAGGCGGCCAGCAGCGCGACGGCCAGAGGCAGGCGCACCCCGGCGCGCAGGAGGTACAAGCCCATCCAGAAGAAGGCACACAGGAGACTGAAGAGCAGCGCCGAGGGCTGCAGCCAGGGGCTGAGCGGCGCGCCGCCCCCGGGAGCACCTCCCCGAGGCCCCGGGAAGACGCCCCCTCCTGCTCCCGGGGCCGCTTCCTCCTCCGCCGCCGCCGCCGCCGCCTCCTTACTCGGCTCCAGGTCACAGCCGATCTCCCCGCGGACCAGCCTCACCAGCAGCGCCAGCAAAAAGGACAGGGAGCCCGCGCAGAGCGCCGAGGAAAGTTTCCCGGAGCGCCGGAGCGGCTGCAGCACCAGGTCTCCCCAGCAGCCGCGGCAGCCCGAGTCCCGCGGCGATGCGGGGCCCGCGCGACGGTGGCAGTCCGGGCCCGCCGTGGGGGCTAGACTCGCCCCACCGTGGCCGGGCTTGTCCCTGACTCGGGCGTCCTCGCCGGGCACTGCCATGGTGTGCCCTCTTCACGGAATCCCCGAGGTCCCCCGGACGCCCCCACCGCGACCCACACACATACACGCACGCTCTCTCTCTCTGCCCAGTCCCACCCTCGGAATCCCTTCTTCTTCTCCCCAGGCCCACGAGCCACTGAAAGTTTCAGCTTTCGAATAACTCCTGGAGAATACTAGATGCTCCAAAGAGACGCCTCCAAGTTGAAAGCTAGCACAGGCAGAAATGATCAGACTTCCTCTTTTCCTCTCTTTGAAAAGCTTTTAAAAATCCTCTGCTCCACCCCTACCCCCGACTTAATATCCTCCGGGGTCTCTTGCTTCTTCAGGGTTTTAAAGGTTGCCCAATGCGTCCGGCGCACGGGGGCCGCAGACGCTGGAGCAGCCGGGGGCGCAGGGCGAGCTCGGGGCCATCTCGGGCGCAGCTCGGCGCTGCGCTGCGGCGCGCCGGGCCCGAGGCAGACGGAGGTCCCCCTTCTCTTCCTTCCTGCAGCTCTTTCTCTATCACTCTTTCTTTCTCCTCGGCCGATCCTCCCCAGCACGGCCCCAGGAGGCCAACCGCCATTCCCTGGGGCAGAAAGCAAAGCCTCCCCTGCGTCTGTCGGTCCAGTTCATAGCAAAGGGTGGAAGAAATGGAAAGGGGGCTGAGAAATAACCAAGAAGTTAAGTCCCGTCGGAGAAAGACACAGTCCGAGAGACGAGCGGCTGCCGCAAGAGAAGGAAGGGAGGGAGAGCGAGCGAGCTAGAGAGGAAGGGAGGGTGAGAGGAAAGGGAGGGTGAGAAGGGAGAATGAGATTTGCTCGTTTGGGGTTTTTTTTCCTTCTTTTTGGTGCGAGGTTGGTGGTGATTTGCAGTTTTGCAGAAGGGAAGCGAGTGGAGACGACTGGTTAAAACTATATAAAAAAGTAGGCAACTGGAGTGATCTGCAATTCCGCTTTCTTCTTTAAGGCTACTCCCTAGGAAAGCTTTCCCAGCCGAGCTCCCGCCCCCTCCCCCGGAGGAGGCGCTGCTCTCAGCTCCATTCTGCTTTCTGCCACGCGGGGCCCGCACCACCAGCACGCTGGAGAAAGGGTTGCTGTGGCGGGTCCACCGCCCAGCTCGCCGCAGCCCGGGGGTGCGGGGGTCTGCGGCTGGCCCTCAGGCTGAGCTTCCTAGGACGTTGGAAAAAAAGGATTGTGCTTGGCTACTTGGCAGGCTATGGGAGCCAACATCCTTCCTGCTGTCATTAAAAATGACAGCCACATCTACTGTCTGAGTGATTCAAAGAGGCTCATATGTTCTCAAGTCAGTCCTAACAGCAAACCAATTTCAGGTGGCATTGTAATGCTTTGGCTGCTCCTGCTGGAAGGTCTGTTTTCGACAGAGAACCCAAGCCTTTCCTGTTGGTCCAAATGATGGAAAATCTCAACAAGTTACCCAGACGCTAAATAGCATCATTATTAAAGAGAAGGGGAGGGGATTCATTTTTTTTTAAACTGTTACTTTAAAAAAAATCCAGTATATGAGAGTATCAGTGACGGTTGTTCATAGTGGATGAGAACTTAGACATTAAGTGACCCTAGCCTGGAGACGGTTTACAAAATTAGGAAGACCAAATAGTCAATCAGAAAGTAATATAAAGAAATCTCGAGGGGGGAGCGAGGACAGGTAGATTAACACTAGGAAAGATCTTAAAAGACGGTCTACGGTTGTGAAATACTATGTCTACCATGAAGAAAGCTTATGAGAAAAAAATCAGGATCTTAGTTGTTAATGTTTACAGGGTGCACTGTTCATGTACTATAGTAATGTAAGATTTGGGAAACTAAAGGAAAATTTTAAAGCTAACTTTTTTGGCAGATTATAAATAATTCATTATCTGTTCAATGGACTTAAAAATCCATCAATGTTGGGAGCTAGTTTCTCTTTACACTTAGAACAAGAATCTGATAGTCCTTGCTTCATTTTTAATATGGCTACCTTAGATGTCATTTGCTCTCACTAATAATAGTATTAATAATCCAATTTTGTCTTAATTATCTTGACATTCCAGGTTAAAGTGTGTTTATAGCCTGGAGTATTTCGATAATTGGTTCAATATGCCACTGCATTTTGTGTGCAGAGATGAAGCAATATAAAGAAAAGCCAAAGAAGATAGATGCTTGAGATAAAATTAATTCTTGGGGGTACGGGAGAAGACAGCTTAAGTCTTAAATGTAGTTTCATGGGAAACAGCCTGCTCTAGTTAGAGACAAGTATTAATATTGATATTATGACATAAATGTATGAGCTGTGATGATACAGCTTCTCTCCATCAGATGTTCAGAACTGTGCTACCACATGGAGAACAAGTTGGGCAGCTAGTCAATGGCAGTGGACACCATCTGTTTAATAATTAAGGAAACAGGAGCAACAATGTCTTTGCCAAAGACAAATGAGCCCCCTAGAGTGCACACATAGTTTTCTGAGTTTCTTTTTTAGATGTATGATTCATATGCCAGAGCCTACCTGGGACACTTCAGAGTAAAAACCTTGATTAGAAAATCATGCTAATAACTATTGACATCAAAAATAGCATATTAAAATGAAAACCTGTAAAAATCTGGGCATATGTCAAGGTTAGAAAGAAAGGCATAATGAGGAGGATTTTAGAATATTTCCATTTTCTCTGTCCCCTACCCTGACAATTGTCTCCGTTCTTTAGGAAAAATAATAAATCATCATAAAAACTGAACTTGTAAGAGATGGAATGTAGACATTAAAAAAAAAAAAATAGTGTAACAGGGGTCAGCCCTGTGGCCTACTGGTTAAGTTCAGTGTGCTCCGTTTCAGCAGCCTGGATTCAGTTCCCAGGCATGGACCTACACCTCTCGTTGGTGGCCATGCTGTGGCAGTGACCCACATACAAAAATAGAGGAATATTGGCACGGATGTTAGCTCAGGGCAAATCTTCCTCAAGCAAAAAGCAAATTGGTACAGATGTTAGCTCAAGGTGAATCTTCCTCAAGCAAAAAAAGAGGAAGATAAAACAAAAATACTAGATCTGTATGTTAAATAGTGACATCCTTGAGTGTTCAATATATTACAGAAGTGGTGTCTTGGCATCTGGGTTTTTCCCCATTCTCAACAAAAATCTTAAGCAGAAATTTCTTTGTTCCACCAAAAGGAAAGAAGATAGATTCCACGCCACCATCCCCTCATTACCATCCAGAAACTGGAGGCAGATAAACAAAAACAACAACAAAATATTCATTATAGAGACACAGAAAGCAGCATCACTATACTAACTGAAAGAAGTGGCTGACACTGTGTGGAACAAATTACATTAAATAAGACCCAAAATATAAAGTGGACGTTGAGCAGTCACGTAGAAATAAAAACTAGTGAGTCCTAATTCAAGAAAGTGACAACACAACCAAAGGGTAAGGAAAATATGTACACAAAGAAAAATAGAATATGGAAAAAGAAAAGAAAAATTCAAATTTGACTTGAGAAAATTCCCCACTTAGCCAAATCTAGCCACAGTGCTTTCGTTAGTACTTTGTGAAAAGGATCTAGAAATTAATCCCATTGCATATCATTTACACTTTGCCAAATATAGTAATGCTTAAAAGAATTCTACTGTTAAATTCAGAAAGTTTACACTTCATAGTATGGGTTCACTCATTCACCACTACCCAGCAGACCTCTCTGCATGTATGCCCAATGGGTATCTAAAAGAGAATGTATCCAAAGCAAAATTCTTAACTTGCAATTCCCTCCCTGCCCTTCCACCACCAACCCCCACACACCCACACTATGTCTCCTCAGTAATCCCCCACCCCAGGAAGAAACATAACCACCTATCAAGTTGCTCAGACCCCAAAAGACGTCATTCCCCTCAATTCCTTACTCTGTTTTCCTTGCTTTACTTACAGTCTATTAGCAAGTCCACTTGATTCTCTCTCTAAAGTATATCCTGAATCCATCTACTTTTCACCATCCCTCTTATAATAACCAACCAAAGATCCATCATCATCCCGGGCCAGGACAATGGCAATAACTTTCTAACTGATCTCGCTCTCCTACCATTCATTTTCTACACAACAGCCAGAGTAGAGTTTTAAAGTGTAAATCAAATGATGTCACTCCCTGCTTAAAACCATCTAAAAGCTTCCCGTTGCACTTATAGAACCCCAAATCCCCATGGCAGCCTGCAAGGACCTTCATGATCTCTCCAAGCCAGTCTCTGTGACCTCTCCTCTTATTCCAACTCTCTTACTTCACTAGTGCAACACTGTCCATCAGAACGTCCATCAATGCTGGAAATATACTCTGCACTGTCAAATATGGTAGCCACTAGCCACATGTGGCTGTTAAGCACTTTAAACATAGCTGGTACCACTAAGGAACTGAGTTTTGTTATTTTATTTTATTTTAATTAATTTAAATTTTAATAGCCTCATGTGACTAGTGGCTTCTGATGGGGAGTGCATCTCTTGCCTCCCAAACCATCTTTCTGTTCTTTATCATGTCAAATTGAAAACCCTGTTCAGGATGTTGATATCTACAGATCTTCACATAGCTAGCTTTTTCTGCTCCTTCAATCCTTACCTTAAATGTTATGTTTTCAGAGAGGCTTTTTCCCAACAAACTTACCAGAGTCTTGGCACTCCATGTGCACACACACATTTTAACTATCACACTACCCTGTTTCGTTATATTTGTAGCACTTATCACCACACAAAATGGTCTTATTCATTTATTTGTTTTCCTTTTTATCCTTCACTACCTCCCTTCACTAGAGTGTAAGTGCCATGCGAACAAAGACCATGAATGTCTTTGTCTTATCTTCTGTGTACCACAAATGACCAGCATAGTGCCTCGCACAGGACAGAAGCTCAGTAAATACTTAATAAATGAATGAAATCAGTGAATACAGGGTGAAAGAATGCATTTAAAAAAATAACTTTATTATCTTATAAAGTCCTAAGTTAAAGACAATTTCCATGTATTTTTACATAAAATTGCTCAAGTGGACAGGTCCCTCAAAATTTTGCATCTAAGGTTCTGTTGCCCAGAGTGGACCAATAGGCAAAATCATGCAAGCAGCACTTTTTACAAAGGGTCGCTTTAAAAAAACTTGCGGAGACTGACATCAGCATCATGGTGGAGTGAACTGTTCCCTTGATCTCTACCTGCTAAGATACAATGAAGAGGACATTCACTGACAAACAGAGGACAGCCACACAACACAATAGTTGTCTGAGAGATCCATACACCCATACGTCTGAAGGTGGGGGTACTGGATCCCCCAGGAAGCAGTGGAAAGAGGTAAGCAGATCTCCTCTCCCTCCCCAGCAACTGTTATCTAGGGTACAGGACCTTATATAGCAGCCAGCATGTGACTGTGAGAGGAAACAGGATAAAAGGCAGCCCTCTGCAGGAACGCTGTCACTCTCAGAGCTGCTACTTAGCCTGTGGGATTGCTCCACACTGGTGGCTCAGTCACCACAGAGGAGCCCCCACCAGGCTGAGCAGCCCAGGTGGACCACCAGTGAGTGCAGAGCATGAGCACAGGCTGGAAAGAAAGTACCTACTCCCCCCCCTACCTTGCCTGGTGCACCAGCTCGGCCTGTCAGCCAGGGCAGAGAATCCCTGCCAAAGCTCCCGGTGTGAAGCAGCAATAGCCAGTTGCAGAGAGCCCTATCAGCACAACTTCCAACAGACAAGCACAACTGCCAGGGGATGCAGAGGGCTCAGAAGACACAGCTCCTGCCCTCCTGGTTGTGGAAGGTGGAATTTGCAACCAGAGACTACCACTATGTGCGAGCAAAGGTCCACCCCATCAAACAGTATGAAGAAGTACATTAGCACTCCAGATCAGAATGAAAATGACAAGTGTCCAGACACCAATCCTGAAGTCACAAAAATTTGCAATCTAAATGACAGAGAATTCAAAATAGTTATCATAAAGTAACTCAACAAGTTACAAGAAAACTCAGAAAGACAGTTCAATGAACTCAAGAATAAAATTAATGAGCAGAGGGAATTCTTCACAAAAGAGATTGAAACTCAAAAAAAAAAAAAAAAAGCCAGAAATGCTGGAGATGAAGAACACAATGTATGAGATTAAAAAAAAATCTAGAATCCTTTAAAACAGAGCTGACATTATGGAGGACAGAATTAGTAATTTAGAGGACAGAAATATAGAAATGCTTCAGGTGGAGGAGGAGAGAAAACTAAAAAGAAATGAAGAAATTCTCCAAAAAATATCTGACTCAATTGGGCAATGCAACATAAGGATTATAGGTATTTAGAGGGAGAAGCAAGGGAGAGAGGAGCAGAGAACTTCTTCAAAGAAATAATAGAACTTACGAAACCTGGGGAAGGAGCTGGAATTACATGTAAATGAGCTAATAGAAATCTTAGTTATATCAATGTGAAAAGACCTTCTTCAAGGCATATATTAGTAAAACTATTAAAAGTCAATGACAAAGAAAAAATGTTAAGGGAAGCAAGGCAGAAGAAAATAACCTACAAAGGAAGCCTATCAGGCTTTCAGCAGATTTCTCAACAGACACCTTATAGGCTAAGAGAGAGTGGAATGATATATTCAAAATTCTGAAAGACAAAAACTTTCAGCTGGGAATATCTATCCAGTGGAACTATCCTTCAGATATGATGGAGAAGTAAAAACTTTCCCAAATAAACAAAAGCTGAGGGAGTTCATTGACACAAGACCCCCTCCTACAAGAAATGATCAAGAAGGCCCTCATACCTGAGGAGAAGAAAGAGAAAATATTTACAAAGCATTGAACAAGGAGGTAAATAGATGGACAAAATCAGAAAATCACAGTTCTCTATCAGAACAGGTTAGCAAACCCTTAATTATAACATTAAAGATAAAGGGAAGGAAAGCATCAAAAATAACTATAAACACTTCATTTTAATCACAAATTCATAACACAAAGCAGAATAAGTCGTGACAACAATAACTTAGATGGGGAAGAAGAAAGGGATGGAACCTGCTTAGGCTAAGAAGATAAGTGGCTATCAGAAAATGAACTATCTCATCTATGAGATCTTTTATACAACCCTCATGTGACAACTAGACAAAAAGTCAGAACAGAGACACAAATGATAAGTAAAGAGAAAACCATCATAGAAAATCACAAAACTGAAATGGTAGTCTGAAATACACTGGATAAGAAGCAAGAGAAATACAGAAGAACTGGAAAACAAGACATAAAATGTCATTATTAAGCCCTCATATATCAATAATCACTCTAAATGTAAATGGATTGAATTCCCCAACCAAAAAACACAGAGTGGCTGGATGGATTAAAAAACGAGACCCAACAATATGCTGCTTCCAGGAAACACATCTCAGCTCTAAAGACAAACACGGGCTCAGAGCAAAGGGATGGAAGATAATGCTTCAAGCAAATGGCAAACAAAAGAAAGAAGTGTTGCCATATTTATATCAGACAAAGTAGATGTCAAGATAAAAAAGGCAGTGAGAGACAAAGAGGGGCAGTATATAATGATAAAAGGGAGATTCCAACAAGAGGACATAACACTTATAAATATATATGGACCTAACACAGGAGCAACAAGGTACATAAAGCAACTCTTCCTAAAAAAAGAAAAGAAAAAGAAAGAAAGAAAAGAAAAAAGAAAAAAAAGTATCTGGAGGCAAATGAAAATGAAAATATATCATAGCAACTCATATGGGATGCAGCAAATGTGGTCCTAAGAGGGAAATTCATAGGAATACAGGCCCACCTTAACAAACAA